ACTTTTGATTTTGAGAGTCACGACACGACACACCCTAATCAAAATGTGTGCTTGTAATATAGATGCAGTTAAGTTAGTTGGGAAATATCTTAATACCAGTGTGGGGCCTATTTGCTATAATTCCGACAAGGTACCCTATTTGCTAGTATTAATAAAGAGATTAAACTTTCATGTTCTCGATATTGCTTTTGGATTAACTTCTTTCATGTCATCATTACTCTATGCAGGTTATAACAACAGTTCTTAATAAGCAAAATGTTGAAGGTTTTGCGAGTATTGTAATGCGTCTATCTACAATGAATGGGACATCTTCAATGACACAGGAACAGTTGTTGTTATGTTATCAATGGCTGGAATATATCGCTATGTATTCAAATCAAGCTGCAACTACTACCTCATTTGCCAAAATTTTTTTACAGGTAAAACTTTCAAATTGCTTAGCTAACAAAAACTTCTGGAATACTTAACCTAGGTAAGGTTATGTATTTATTACAGATGTTTGAGTTTGGGGCTCAGCTTTCCATTATATGTAATTGAGTTGCAAGCTGAAATTTTTGTCACGCAAAGTATTAACTATTAAAAACACGTACACGAAATCTTTTTAGGTGGAAACGAATAGAACTCGAGAAAAAATTTTTTGAAAATTAATATATTTGTAGGTTATGAGTCAATTTTGACAGCAATTTTGATCAGTGCTGCCATTTTTTTATGCAAAAATAACATGTTTCTGGTTGTCTATGGTAAATATAAGTTTATTATGTTGGTACTATTGTCAAAATGTGACAATTTACCGCCATTAATGAGATCTGTCAGTCAGTGTTTGTGTTCGTCGCAGTTGAGAGCTTTTTCGTACTCCTGTTGATATTAACATCATCTGACTACCATGGCATCCTCAAAGCCTTCGGCCTCGAGTTCTGCTGTCCCTTCGCCTGAAGAGTCGAGTGTAGTGTGAGTTTTGGACTCTAATGAGCCACTTGTGTGGTGATATTTCATACTAGGTTAGGTTAGGTTAGTGTTGCGACCTTAACGCGCGAGCGTGCCGCGGCAGCGGCCGGCGAAGCACCAGAAAGAAAAATTCGTTAATAGAGACTTTTTCTACAAAAAAATCAAATATCACCTCTAGGCCCTGGAAGTACAGTTTTACCTTTAAAAGCCCTCTCATTTTTTATAATTATCATTTCTGTAAAAAAAACGACCCTTCCCTCTGAGGGGTCTTCCCTAATACCTATCCCCCTGAAATTCCACTACATTTAACAGATTTAATGAATTTTTAGGTTAGGTAAAAAAAAAACTGCATTTCCGACAAAAATCTTTTATGGCGGGGGGGTCGGGGGGAGCCCCCCTCCCCCTCTAAAAAGTACACAGTTTTACCCTATATTGCATTATTTCATATTTCCATGACCTTAATAAGTTTATATAGACAAGAGATGTAGTAAGTATGTAAATATATAGTTTGATTATTGTCAAAAACTAGGGTCCTAATTTAAGTGGGCACAGTCTTTTCAATTTGTGGTATACAACAAATTGAAGTAACATTGTATTGAATTTTTTACTATTTTTAAGTTGGTAATAAACACAAACATAGTTAAATCACATATATTTTAATATTCCTTTAATTCATAACAAATCAAGCTAAATCAAACCTTCACAGGATATTAACAAAGCATTGGAGAAGAACACTTATTTGACTGGGCAGTTTCTTACTATTGCAGACATTGCAGCATATTATGTTCTTTATACATTGATAGTAAGTATTAAAATTGTTTATTTGTGTGCTTCAATAACTAATAAATAATAATAAATATTTCCGACACTCGCACTAAATAAGCCTAGCACCAAAGTATGCTCTGTAAGGCTTGTGTTATGGGGATACTAGGGTAACCGTTAGTTCCGATTTTCGCCACGCCCATTCTTTTCCCGCACTCGTATTCTGTCGACATATAATTTGTGCGCAACTAAATGACCAGAAATGCAGCAATTATCAGTTGATTATAGCAGCCAGCATGGAATAGGGAGATCCGGCCATCCTCCATAGTGGACCAGTGCAGATTGGTAGGTCCTAATAACTGCAGTTGCAGCTTAACATGCCTTCCTAAGTATGAAGGAGCAATATCATAAAGTTGTGGTCTTAAAACTATATGACTGCAATGGCTATTGAGAACCATTTATAATTTTCTTTTAGATAATTCTTTGTTAAAGCTTAATAAAAATAAGTCTTTATTTACAGGAGCGACTTTCTATAATTGAAAAAGAAGGCTTACTACATGTTTGCAGATGGATGAAGCACATTCAGGCACAGCCGAAAGTATGTGCAAGCAAAGCACCATTACCTTTAAACACATTGCAATTGTCAGTGTTAGCACAGAGTGTGCATTAATATTATATTCCATGACATTTATTTATTAAATAAATTAAGATTTTCAATTTATTTGAGTTTCTATTTTATTTCTTGGCTGCTTTTTAGGTTCCATCTATACCATGAAGTGAGGCCTGACCTAAGGACTTGGCTAAGATCTCTGCTGTATCTTAGGTGGACAGTTGAAATCAGACTTTATTTGTAGGTATGTAAAATAGAATACTATGGTAAGAGTTTTCATCGCGACCATTAGACATCTCTGCATCGGCGTATTTTAAAATTTGGGGCGCTGGGCTTCCAGACTAGCCGCTCAGTTTTTATTACTTACTACATAAAAAGCAACCAAAATTGGGCGCCAACGCTGCTTTTTGGCGCCCTTCCTACGCAGCATCGGAAATTCGCTATGGTAAGCGCTTAAACCTTTTGAATAGCTGTATACCAGGACCACAAAAATCGCGTTAATGACTGGGTACCGGCTGAAGTGCAAGGTGTTTTTAACATCATCGCATAGGGTAAGCCCATGGGTTTCTCTCTCTTAATTTTTTTTAAATGTTATAATGCTTTTATTGCTGAACATTTCATGCTACAATGCTAAATAAACCTTATCGGCAATAATTTGTGGGGCTCATTATTGACTTGTCTAAGGTTCCATACCATGTATTTTGTAAAAGTTTGATAAAAACACAGTTTAAAATTTTATGGTATACATTTATATGACGAGGTACCCCGCCGATTTTTAAGCATGTAACTAACTGCTTGATGTTTAAAATTCAAGAAAATATAACTAGAAAAAATTCCACGCGGTCCAGGCAGCAGACGGGACTCGACCCGCACCATTCGCAATCCGGGCGAATGCACTGACCAATTATGTTACCGCGGCCCTGACGGCCGCGTCGAATTTATTCTAGCCATTCTTAAGCTGCAAGGCAGCGCCGGTAAAAGTATTCATTTGACATTGTGGGTTACCTACAATGCGAAGAAATGGCACTGCCTTGCAGCTTAAGAATAGCTAGAAGAATTTCGACGCTGTGATTTTAAAAGTACGTAAAATAAGGACCACCCTCATAGTAGCAAAGTACCCTAGCCGGGATTTTTGGATTTACTCGAGCGCGGAAGAATAACATGATAGAGGGCGGGGGGCGGCCATGACTTTTGGTCGCGTCCAATTCGTCGGTCTCTTGAATAGGAAGCTACTCGAGGGTTCACGTAGGTAACATCCCTTCTCAATGTCTGACGCGCTTAAATATTTTTCCTATATTCTACTCTTTCGTACAGTCCTCCAATAAGCAAAGCGGCGGATGAATATTTTTTTTGTCGTCAGAAACGTTACGTGAACCGTCCAGTAGCTACTATTTAAAAGACTGACGATTTGGACGTGACCTAAAGTCATGGCCGTTTGTTGAAAATATATTTTGCTGCCCTAGACGTTCGGAACTTCATCTTAGAGCATATACCAAGAGACGGCTCAGGTATGGTGGGAGTAGGTACTTCACAAGGTACAAGGTCGTTAGGTTGCCCCCTTGTGTTATTCTTCCGTGCACAATTAAAATACACCCTTGCATTTGTGTCTGACACTTACACCAGACAGGCTACCCGGTCCGCCCACGAATTGCAGAGCCCGAAGGCACAAAGGCTTAATATCAAGCTTATTAAAAGTATTGGGCATTATAGCTCCGGGAAACGATGAAAAGAAATAGGTGATGAAAAGTTTAGTAAACCGATTAAGCCACGCGGACAAGTAGCGGGTCCTACCTACTTATAGAATACATAAATAAAAAATTGATTTTAAAGTGAAACAATAAAATTGGGATTGTAAATGTATGTACCTAGTTACTCAATATTTACCGTTTTACAATTTTGTAGATATTCTACAAACATACTACAAATAATACGCGAAACACATTTGAGCTATGAAATTTATGTGTAAACGGTCACAGAAATGAATTCAGATAGAAGTCGTAGTGGCGGCGTCAAGATTTTAATATTCCTATCTATATTGAAATTCGGTTTGAATGAAGGCAAAACGAAGAAAGATTATTACAAGCCACCGGTAGGTACCGTACAGGAAAATGTGTTTCTCAGATTTTAATTTATAATTTAGAAGTACTCTAACCACCTTTAACTGAATAATTTCACAGGTCACGAAAGATCTCCCATTATTGCCAAGACCCATTTATGGTTACGAATTGCAGAATTTGAGCTTAGATGAACCAGTCCTTTATTTTCCACAACCGTTTTCGTATCCTAACTATCCAGTGATACTTTATTTGTAGTCGTAATAAAAGAATAATAATCGGCTTTTTTAATTTATCCTTATCAAAGGTACCTAAGTAGGATGTCAGTACTTAAGAAGCTACTTGCGTCAGCGTTAGAATAATATTTGTTCGTATTTCCTGTGATGATCAACGGCCATAAATTATATGATAATCGTAAATAAACAAGAACTTGGTTCTTATAATTTTATTTTACAACCACGTGTTGTAATAAAAATGCAAGTTTAATTTCAGATTTTATTTCTGAGTTGCACAGCGACTATAAAATTAACAATAAGTGGTTTATCCGACAAAGAACTAAACGCACACTGGTGACATCAATAAAAACTTCATGTGAGAGATATACGATACGTTCTCAGATGAAATTAATTTTAAGTTTTACGATTCTGCCCCTGTTGAACGCCGGTGAGTTTTCTATCTGCAAATCGTAGCATCAGGCACCGTTCTAATTTATTTGAATAGGAGCATCCGTTGTCTTCAGCCTCTGTGCAGAATAAAAATCAAAAGATCAAAAATATTGTAAGGGAGGTGGGACATAACATTGAGGTAAAAAAAATGGTTGCCTGTAAAGTCGGTTTTACGGGCGAAGATTTTACGTGACAACGTCTTTTTCTCGGTAGAATATTTATTGATATGAATATAATTAAATTGCACAATAGGAACAAGGAATTGAATGAAAATAAGAATTGCACAAATTTTAACTATAGAAATATATTTTGTTTACTAAAACATTGTACATGTAAACTTAAACTTAACACGAGAGACTCATCGTAACGTTACCGAGCGTTACACTTTTTCATAAGTGACTCCCAGCCGCAACCTAATTTAAGACGTTGTCACGTCAAAAATGTAAAAAATATACATTTCTAACATTTACAACCATTAGTCTAGGTCCAAAATAAAAGCTTTTTAAGGCTTGTGTCAAGGGAAACTAGATTAACGGATAGACCCTCGTAAATGAAATAATCTTACAGACACAGGCATTATATAAGAGAGATAGGGCATAGCGGATTTTCCGCTCGAATGGGAACGCCCGTCCGGGGAAGTAATCTCCACCTACCTACCCTACTGGTGTACTACCGTTTGGTGGTGTTGTGTTACTGTTGTTAAATATGGTTCCAGGGCTCCACGGGGTAGGGGATAGGGTCAGGGTAGCCAACGGTGCGAGTGATATTTTTGGTTTCGTAAGCGTCTATAGGCTATGGTGGCCGCTTATTATCAGGCGAGCCATACGCTTGTTTGCATAAAAAAAAATCATTTTCTATTCCCGCCCTGGAAAAAGGATCTCACAACCAACCACTTGACTTGGCATCGACATGTTTCCTCTGTAACTAATTACCCGTCTGCAGTTCTTGAAAGCATGCCCTGGTCTGGTCTTTTAAAGCAGTCCTGGATTGCTGTGACGTCACCGATGATTGCACCTTGTTCCAGAATTCTGCTTCGCGTGGAATCCCCCTGGAATCCACCTGTGTAACATTAATAATATTCTGCACCTGATCGTGTTTTGTTATTTCATATCCAACAATGAATTTGTTTTGGTTATAAGTAGGTAGAGTTATCATCACATAGAGAAACACTTACAACTTGTAAATTGGCGAATATGCATTGGCTCAGGCACTGAAAAAATAAAAAAGGAAAAGCCTTAAATATGTATATTTACGTATATTTCTAGAAAATATATGTTTCATTTGTTTGATAGGTTCTCATTTCTGGTCGGTGCAAAGGAAGGGGCTTCATTGGCTTGGTCTTCATTGGAATGAGGATGGTTTTATGATGTAAATCTCATCAATCTACTTACAGAAAACTTTCATAAAAAAACATCAAGTTTATCTCAAGATTGAATATGGCAAGACTCGGATGCTTTGGAAAGGGAGACCGTGATATCTTTCTCCTCCATATGCAGTATTTTTTGCTTTCAACTGGTAAAATAATTTTGTTTACCTGATCGGTGTCCGGCCTGTTCAAAAGAGGTTCACTGCGTCTCGTTCTGTTCGCGTTCATCTGTGTTTTGTTGTAATCTCCACCCGCGGCAAGCCGTGGTGCTGAAGACACGAACTTTTCCCCGTTGCTATTCCCAATGCCGGCATTCCCATATTCGTAGTCATTGTTGCCGTAAGTGGCGTTGAGCACGTACATCTGCTCTTTCATATCGGTGCTGTTCCGTTTTTCGTGTCCGTATTGGTTTTGACCAATAGTGCTATCGTTGAAATCTATGCGGGTATATTCATTGGAGCGGCGTTGGCGTGCTGTAGCAATTTTCTGATTAAGTACTGCTATTACCAGAAACACTTGTTAAAGTATGTTAACATCAGCTAATGCTCTACATTATATTGTTGTAAACATTAATAGTCACTAACATTACCTATAGTAATTTATGTTTCTAACGGGATTGCTACCTCGTTTTGTGCGAGTACTCGATAATCAGTTTACTCCGTGATCATGGCGCTTGCAACAGTGCCGAAATATCAAGGACTCGCAAAAAAGGTACCACCACGCGGGGGTGGATACAGCTTTGTCGCCAGGGAGGCGTCATATAGTCGTGGTCATGACCCCCATGACCCCCACCTGGATCCGCCCTTGCCGCCGGGGTAATAATTCCGTTCATAAGTAATTAAAAGCACTGTATATAATATTAATTTAAAAATCTCACTGAATTACTTCGAGTAGGTTCTCCGCGGAGGACCTCTGACAGCATCAAGATTACATTCGTAGTGTCCGATGAATAAACAAATATTTTAAAAGTACTGACCATTGTTATCCTTTAAGCTATCATCAGGTAATAATGTGCAGGATTTCAGAGCCTCCTCTACTTCATTCTCTAACAGACGAATGTTACCGTCTCCAGAACATCTCACTAACACTGGCAACAGGGACAGCACTACGAAAACTATAGTCATCGCAACTCTATGGGCCACCGTGAGAGAGTGCACCGTTTAAATGGCGATGAAGCAGGAACCATCTCATTATTTTTGACGTTTGACGGACAGGAGCAAGGCCAATGCAAAAATACTGATATTATATACAGTACATTCTAGGTCGGTAGCTAATTATTATTTATCATTCCAGCAGTGCTATTCTGTAAGAACAAACTCACTTTTCACAGAGGAATCCGCATTGTTATTTGAAATTACAATACAAATTTCAAATCACACCGGCGAATTGCGTGGTGAAAAGTGAATTTGTCCTTACAGAATAGCACTGCAGTTAGGTGAGTTTTCCGGTTTACAATATTTATACACTGCCGAATATCCAAGCTATAGACTAGATTAGGAAAATTATGTGTTCCGAAATTGGTAATGATAAATTATTGCACTAGGACGAAGTGTCGGGCACTCAGTCTGACTGAACTGATTTTAATAAATGAATAAAATAATAAATAAATATTTCTAACACTCCCACCAATTAGCCTAGCCCCAAAGTAAGCACTGTAAGGCTTGTGTTATGGGATGCTAGACTAACGGATAGAATACATATACTGTACATATATAAGTATATTTATATAGAAATACATATTAAACACCCATGACTGGAGTACAAATGCTTGTATTCATCACACAAACATATGCCCCCACCGGGATTCGAACCCGGGATCTCTCGAGTCGGCGACACCATGAAACCCGGCGTACAAACCACTCGGCCACGGAGGTCGTCAAATGTTTGATCGTCGTCGATTTTGATTAACTTCTTCAAGATCCCTTTATCTAAAAGGGATCTTGCACCGTTATAAACACGGTGGTAGTCAGATAACATGTTTATCTACGATAAAGATCTGAGATTAAGAGCGTGCGCTGCGTTAAGCGGGAGCACGTAGCGGACGTCCGCGCCGCGTGCAGTTTTTATGTCATTGAATAGCAGCACGGCGCGGAGTTCCGCCTCACGCAGCGCTGCTTTATGAAAACATGAAACAAACACGCCGAGCGGGCGCCGCTACGTGCTCCCGCTTAACGCAGCGCAGCCTAGGCCGACTTGCACCAAAGTTCTTAATTCAAATTAAGGGCTTAATCGTGTTTAACACGTCATTCTATCTTTGTCAATTGTTTTAATTCGATTAGACTGACTGACTAGATAGACTGACGCATACCATGATTTACTTAGATTAAAACAAAAAGGGAAGATCTGGTACGCTCATACTAGGATCAAATGAAATATGCTCCGTTCAACTACATAAGCAAATCCCACACACGTCTGTAAATAAACATTCAATCGAGCGAGCGAGACAAAACTGTACCCCTAGCACGAACCATTATCGAATTAGAATAGTTTGCAAACCGAAATGTCATTGTCAAATTTTGTATGGAAACTTGAACAGCAGCGGCACAAAGTATATTGGTTCGTGCTAGGGGTACTGTACCCTTAGCAGAACCAATATCGAATTCGTAAAGTTTGCGAGTCCGAAATGTCATTGTCAAATGTGTATTGATTTTTAGTTCTCATTACGTACTTTGTGGCGCTGCTTTTCAAGTTTCCATACAATATTTGATATTGACATTTAGCACTAGCAAACTATTCGAATTCGATAATGGTTCGTGCTAGGGGTACTTTACGCTTTAACGCAGCCCCAGCGAAACGGCGAGTTTGCGTCCGAGTCCGCACGGCTGAGCTGTATTGTTGTCCTTTTTTTGATAACAAAATGGCGATTACGTAAATAACATTCACTACAAACAGTGATATTTGAGAAAAAAATGTTTTTACAGTTTTACGAATGAAAAGTGTTGTCGAGGCATTTATTTGATTTTGAACTATTTGAGTTCCTTATAAAAGAATCGAAGGCATTGTTTTATCTTTATAATACTAACGAATATACGCAAAATTGTTATATTGAGTGCACATGCAGCGTGTTTGAATGTCCAATTGTGACTAAAGCGAATTGTGATCATGCACCACAATTTAAGCGGATCACTTATGAGCCGCGACTGCCGTATCTTCCCTTTTTGTTTTAATCTAAGATGATTAACGATTAGCTATAAATTTTGGTTTAAGAACTTTTTCGAAACCCTTTGTTGATCTTGATCGAGATTCTTACAATCCGCATCAGAAAGTTCGTTCTACTTTTATGGAAATGTCATAAGTAAAGTTAGCTAAAATCTCACAGTTATGACAGATTTTATCGGTTAGTTAGACTGAGGTCAAATGAGCGTTGTTTTTAGGGTTCCGTACCTCAAAAGGAAAAACAGAACCCTTATAGGATCACTTTGTTGTCCGTCTGTCCGTCCGTCCGTCTGTCAAGACCCTTTTTCTCAGGAACGCGTGGAGGTATGAAGCTGAAATTTATATCAATTACTCAGGTCTACTGTCCCTTGAAGCTGTGAAAAAATCAAACTTCTAAGCCAACGCAATCAAAAGATACAGCCGTTTATGCCGCAAATTTTCGACACTTGCAAGGGAATCAAAACCTACAGGGTGCTTCCCGTAAACTCAGAATCTTGAAATTTGGTACCAAGCAACGTCTTATAGCATAGATAAAGGAAAAATTACGAAAACCATAAATTTTTAGTTACATCACATAATATATTTTTTTTTAATAATTTTAACCTTACTACCCATTTCCTCATAAACGCGTAGAGGTATTAAATTGAAATTCATACCAAATACTCAGGTCTATAATACCTTTAAGCTGTAACAAAATCAAACTTCTATGTCAACGCAATCAAAAGAAACAGCAATTTAAGCTGCATATTTTGAAACTCGCAAGTACTCGCAAGGGAATCAAAACCTAAAGGGTACTTCCAGTCGACCTAGAATCTTGAAATTTGGCATGAAGCAACGTTTTACAGCACACATAAAGGAAAAATTCCGAAAACCTTAAATTTTTAGTTACATTACAAAATATATATTTTTTAATAAATATAAACTTATTACTTTTTTCCTCATGAACGCGTAGAGCTATCAAGTTGAAATTCATATCAAATACTTAGATCTAATTGCCTTTAACCCGTGAAAAAAAAAAATTCTAAGTCAACGCAAAAACGCAAAACGCAAAAGTACAACCATATTACTTAAACGATAAAGAGATCTTTGTCTTAAATTTATGCTCCTCCATCTTTCCCCATTGTAATGTTATGAATTTCATTTTGCAATAAAAATACCATAGTTATGACTCGATTGTCGTAATGAACGAACTTTGTAAACCTTGCAGGTTTGTACGGAACCCTCGGTGCGCGAGTCCGACTCGCACTTGGCCGGTTTTATTTGAGATGTAATTCACGTAATGTCTATACTCTATATTACAACCCATTTTCCATCTTCGTGTAGCAAAAAAGTACATTTGTAGAGACAACCGGATAGTTTCTATTAAGCGACTCATGCGATTTGCAACTCAACAACTATGATCGTCTGTCCCCACCCTTGGGTCAGGGGATGGGGTCATGGTCAAAAGAAAATTACACGATTCAGATTTATTACGTGATACACAAATATTAAAAAATACGCACGTAATGACCTCATCCTAATGGAAGGAGGCGGGTTAGTGTATTGATGCATACTTGGATAAATAACTTGTAACGTAGGTAATAATTACGTTACAATATATTTATGAGGTGGCGGTGCCTTCGCACATTTTTTTTATAAACATTTGCAAACATAAATTATTAATATTACTATAATTATTAAGTGTTGAAAATTCCCCATCGTTCCAGTACATGGAAAAAATACTCGATACCGAGAGGTCAAAGGTAAAAAAATGGGTATTTCGCTATTTTCATCAAAAAAGGTAGATTAATCGTAAAATTATTTTAGTCAAAAAATATAGGTCATAAAAATATCTATAAAAAAGGTATTAATATTCGTTTTCCTAAGAGCCACCGTTCCGGAGGTATAATGATTCAAAGTTGTAAGTGTCATATGTACACGTTTCCACGCCACCTCTGAGGTAGTATACTTAGCGCGTTTTTTTAACGAGGTTTCCCCAATTGGCCTATTCCATAGATCTGTTGTAATTCTGTTTAATTGGAAACTATTGCATAATAAATAAACAAATATAAGCATGGGTTGGAATTGATAAAAGCGATGGAAATTAAAAAACAGTAGCAACAGTTATTCGTCTGATACATAATCTTCAATTATTTATTGTTGTTTTTCTTCTTGATCTTCTTCTTCTACACACTGACGCAATTCACTTACACACGTAAGTGAATTGCTACTAGCGAAGTGTCACATGTCTTTTCGTTGGTAGTAAAAGAATCCTCTACTGTTGGTGATTCCACATTATAACACGACTGGCCTTGACAATACGTACAAGCCAGAGAACAAAACAGTCCAACTTTTTTGGAACCACATTTAGCACTGCATTCCTTTTTTACTGTTGCAGAAGATTGTGTTGAGCAGTTTTTCCGGCGCAAGTAGAAGTAAAGTCTGTATTGGTTCTCATGTACTGTCGACCAACTTTCAACACCAGTTTTTGGGGTCTAGCTGATAACCAAGCCACACTTGAACTTGGTAATATACATACCCGAAAAAGATGTTGATGAGCAGCAACTAAGGTTGCTGATTGCACTTGTTTTTTATTTCGAGTGTTTTTAACAAAACATGCTTATCGATACTTGTAGGGTTGAATTACTTTTTTCAAAAGTTTCAACACATTATTCTTATAGTTTAGTTAAGTTATACCTAACTATGTATATTTTTAATGTAAGTTACAAATTACCGATAGAAAAATATTTTAACTAATATTACAGCTACAGAGACGTATATACGTGACGTACTTATTATGCATATTATGACAATCGGTATATTTCAGGAACGGTGGCTCTTAGGAAAAAAATGATAAATACCTTTTTATAGATAATTTTATGATCTACATTTTTTATCTAAGATAATTTTACGATAAAACTTACCGTTTTGATGGAAATAGCGAAAAACCCATTTTATTTACATTTGACCTTGAGTATTTTTTTTCCAT